GACGGCAACGAGGGCCCGACGGCGCTCCAGCGAAATCTGACCATGGCGGGCGCGGCTAAGCTCGGTACGAGCTTCTAGGGTTCGCGGGGAAGACGAGGGAAGGAAGAGAAGGGAGTGAGAGAGCTCCGGTGATAGCCGGCCACGGGAAGCTCGAAGTCCGGCGAGCCCCGGTCATGGCGGGGTGGCGGCGGAAGTGGCCAATAGGCCCTCACCTAGGCTCGATCGACGCTGCAAGTGGGTGGAGATGGTGGCGTGAAGCAAGGTGGAGCTACTGGCGTGCTGGTTCAGGCAATGGCGTGGCTACGGCGGCGCACGAGCTCGGCGAAGCACCTCGGCGTCGCTACAGCTCGGTTTCTCGGTGGTGAGCATGCGATGGAGATGCCGACGGAGTCAGAGTCGCAGTCGCTGCCGAGCTCTTCTACGCCGTCGCCACGCCCTGCTCCACCGTGCCTCTGCTCTCCCTTTCTTCCCCAACACCGACCTACACCGGAGCCGAAGCCGCTGCCACCGTCGCCGTGCCCTGCTCCACCGCACCCCTAGCTTCCTCGCCGCTCGGCCACCAAGCGGCGCCACCGCCCTGTGCCGACGAGGTGAACCACGCTGCTCCCCTACTTCCCCCTTCTTCCTTCGCTCCGCATCTCTGCTCTGCTCTCCCTTTCTCCCGACTCTCCAACCAAACAGATCACACGGTGAGCATCTCCATACCTCCACGACTCTCTCCGGTTCCATGCCTAGCTCACCGAGCAGGCTGCAGCGCACGCTTGGCACTCCTTCCCTCCCAGCGCGCACGCACAGCGAAGCAAGCAGCAGCCGACCAAAGCTCCGCCGTGTGCTTAGTCGCGTTGTGGACTCCGCCGTGAGTTTTGGACACTGGCGCTTAGTCGCGGTGCCTATTGGCTCTACCTAGGTGCGCAGCAGTTTCACCGTGACCCACCGTGTTGCTGTCAACGTGGCCAGCCTCGCCCGAGCCTCTGGAGCCACATATGGAGCCCTAGCAGGCCTCGTCGAAAAGCCCTAGAAGGCTAGAAGGACCCCGCTGGAGCTTCACCGACACCCAGGGAGCCCCGCTGTCATCCCCGTGCCGCCGCAGTGCCATTGTCGGCCGCCCTGAGCTTCAATCCGCCAACTTTAGCCCCTCGGAGTATTCACCGTGACCTCGCGGAACCATGGACCCCCTTCTCTGCCTCCTTGAGCCGCTGTAGAGCGTGGCCGAGCAAGTTCGTCGTCGGCAAGAGTGCGGCCGAGGAGGAAGAGAGGCAGTTGTGCCCCTTGCCACGCTCGCGTGCACTCGGTGTACCGTGCACCGCTCGCACCAGCGCCCGCGTGAATTTGGTCAAAGGACTGACAGGCAAGGCCTGCAAAGAGAGGGAAGGGATGACAGGTGGGCCCAACCTCTTGACAGGCGGGGTCATGGCGGGTTTACTGTGCGGATACCGCGGTCGAATGGGCGTGAGGGCCAATTTTAAACGGTTTTGAGAGTTGAGGGACTGAGGGTGTCTGGTTTTGAAGTTGGAGGGCTAAAACCAAACTGCTACCATAGTTGGAGGGCAAAAACGGGCTTTTTCCTTTCCTTTAACATAAATAGGCTGAGTGTAAGCTACGTAGTAAAAAAATATAGCTCACAAAATTGCAAGACAAAATTGCTTTAATATACAATTTACAACGCTTTTGCTTCATTACATGTTTAATAACATATGCTATAAATTATAATTACATTTTAAAAATTCAAATTTTAAATTTAAAAAATTCAAACATACTTTTTCTTGACAAGATGATTTCAAATGAAAAGGTTATTAACTAGAAACTTACAAAACTTTTTGAGACCTACAACTTTCGTATTGGTTGTTTCTCCATTTGAGGTCATTTTAAAAATTCAAATTTTAAATTTGAGAAATTCAAACATAGTTTTATTTGACAAGATGACTTCAAATGAAAAAGTTGTCAACTATAAAGTTGTATAACTTTTATTTTGGTCATTTCTTTATCCGACAAAGTGGCACTAAACATTGTTAAAAATTTACACATCTTGATTAGTTCTATAACTTTTATATTTATTAATTTCCTAACTAAATTCATTTACGGTTTCAAAATGTTATTTGAAGTTGCCATTTTTTTAAGAATCAAATTTTGAATTGATAAAACAAATTCAAATGAAAAGATGACCAAAATGAAAGCTGTAAGAACACAATAAATTAATAGAGCGTGATTTTAGAAAATTTTAGGTAAAAAATCATCAAATTTGAAGTTAGTATGATGGAGAAAGACTAGTTACAAGTTTTAGTCAGAGATTAAAAAAGAGAAATTAAACTTTTTTAAAAATTTAATTTCAAATAGAATTTCAAAACAATAGATGATTACAAATGAAAAATTTATCCTACAAAGTTGCATATGCATTTCAATCCTACCACTTGTGTTTTTATTTCTCTAATTTTTTTATTTGCATATGCATTTCAATCCTACACGAGTTAAATTTCAATCCATACAAACATAATTATAATATACATACTAATAAACCTAATGGAACATAATTAACTTGCATACAAACATAATTAAAATATCCATACAAATAAACCAAATTAAACATAACCATTCGAATAAACCTAATTAAACATAACAGTATGAATAAACCTAACTAACAAATGGATCCTACAAACCGGCTGCAACCCTAGCCTGTCTCCACTACCAGTAGTGTATGTCTCGGATTATGTAACCATGGTCATTGTCTATGTAATGCAAGGTCCACACTAAAATACTCTCCATTGTCTCGCAACGCCGAGGACTTGGCATCCCATAGATGTAGCCTACTGACGGACTATCGATGGTCTGGTTCTTCCTAAATCTCATGCAATACTGTATACCAGCTGTCATCCTCTAGCCCATCGCTTCCATGAAGTTCTAGGCATACCCCAATCGCTTAATAGCTTGCGTGAGAATGGGCAGCAAGCCACATGTAGCATAGGTGAAATCATAGAGCAAAATCTGCAAGCGAACAAACAAAAAATATCAGGAAGCGCTCATATAATAATAAGAATAATAAACATTACTCTCATAGCATACACGACGTACCATATCCATATGGTTGAATGTCGCATGCCTCTCGCTTACTCGCGGCACATTCAGACTATGCTGACGTAAAGCTCATATCTTCAAGGACGAGAAATTAGGTATACGGTAGCCAATTTGCTCAATTGCCTGCAAAGAAAGCAGTACGACATCGATCTAGGCGCATATCTTGGTCGGCAACTGTCGTCCAGTCTGCACGATGTCCTGGCGCACCTCATTATTGTACCTAATGGTGTATCGAAGGCGAGACTGCACCTCCATAACTCGCCACCTTCATCATTCAGGACCACACTTGTCATCATCTCGAAGATGTCCCACACCCGAGCAGCCATAGTGCTGCTTCCAGCCACTTGAGCGGATTTATAGTCTGTGACATATACAATAATCAAGTTATTAATGAATGTATATATCAAAAAATTATTTTAGCATGCAAAACTTAAAATATTCCATACTATTAATAGGTCTAGGCGACACGGAACGGCCCTATCTGACGATGGCGCGAATAGAAAATCATTAGAGTGGAAACATGGTTCCTGTGAAAGATTAGAAGATGAAGTTGCTAACCTTTTAAGATTGAAGATGAAGCCGGCGGACGAGAGCAAGAACTTGCTCCCCAAGCAAGAACACGGATGAACACAGATGCACAAGCAAAGACCAAAGATTTGACATGTCTCGGGCTGGGGGGACAGTGTAGAAGCGGGTATATATAGGTGGGGACCTTTAGTCCCGGTTGGTGGAGCCTACCAGGACTAAAGTATCAACCTCTAGTCCCGGTTGGAGCCTAAACCCAGGATAAAAAGCCAGCGGGACTTTTTGTCCCGGTTGGTGGTTCTAACCGAGATTGAAAGGCAACCTTTACTCCCAATTTAAACCACAGACCATGACTAAAAGTCTCTGCTACACTATCCGTTGAGCAAGGGATTCTAGTCCCGGGTAGTGGTTTCAACCGAGACTAAATCTCCTATTACTCTCGGGCCAAATTATGACCGGGACTAAAGGCAAAAACTGAAAGTATGCTCTGTACTGGTGGGAGGTGCGAGCCTGTCTGAACTTGGACCCTAGCCATCAATTTTTGGTAGGTGAGGAAAACATCCACTGTGGATAAGAAGAAGGCTGGTCTATTACTGTTGCGCCTTCTTCACCACTGCACCGTTCCCTGTGACTCAGTTGCTTTACCCATGCCCCCTTCAAATGCCGCCCCACGAAATTCCATATCTCATTTGCCCATACTATCGATGTTCTAGAAATAAATTTATTATATTAGTTTTGTCCTTAGTCAAAACATCTTAAGTCTAACGAAATTTCTACATATCGACATCAAAGTTTGTTATACCAAATTGACATACTATGGAAATAAATTTGATGATAAATGATACTTATTTAGTATCATAAATATTTATAACTTATATAAATTTAACGAACCATGATATAGTCTGACTTAGAACAAAATTAGTACCAACTTTGTTTTTGGAACAAAGCAAGATCAACATTTACTCCGTACGTGATAGGCACAATGTAAAACATTCCAGGAACCGTACAGGGACAGACTTAGGGTATTGTAGAGCTTATTTAGTTTCTCCCCTTAAAATTTATTTCTTATCACATCGGATGTATGACACATATATAGAGTATTAAATATAGACTATTTACGAAACTAAATGCACAGATTGAGACTAATTTGCGAGACGAATTTTTAATCCTAATTAGTCCATGATTTGATAATGTGGTACTACAGTAAACATGTAATAATGATGGATTAATTAGCCTTAATAAATTCATCTCGCTGATTCGAGGACTTCTGTAATTTATTTTAGTATTAGAATCCGAATATTCGATGCGACACCTCATATGATACCCGATGTGATACCTCTAAATTTTACCCTGTATTTAAACATCCCGTAACCCAGTAGTCAGCACGGGATCAATTGTGCGTGCAGGAGCTTGCGTACCAGTACACGAAGAAAGGTGCCTGCCTTTCGCTGGTGGCCCGGAGGAAGCAAGCGCTGGAGGGCGTGGCGGCGGACGTCTCGGACGTTCTTGTCATTCTGGCTGACATCTCGGACGCGGAGCAATCGAGGCGCGCCGTCGAGGCCATCGTCGCTCACTTCGGCAAACGTATGAGACCATCTCTGTATCCCTCTAGCTATCGCCATATTCGCTTGACTTATAAGCCATACCTTTTCAGCTAACGAACAATATTTTTCTCTCACAACAAATCAGCCAACGGTACTTTCAGTCCTGGCTTATCAGCCAAGTGAACAGTCCTGCTCGTGGTTATCTGAGACTTGGTATTATTGTCTGATCACGTCTGCGTCATTGTATGTGTGTGTGGTTCAGTGAACCATCTAGTTGCCAATGCCGGGTCTGGTCCAGCTGCTTCTTCGACGAAATCACCAACATAACCGGGTTCAACAAAATGATGGTAAACCAAATATACTCCTATGTCCTATGTACTATGAGACTCAAGTGGGTGACGTTTTTGACATTCACACATATATCTAGGATGTGAATTTCTGGGGCTCTGTCTACCCAACCTACTACGCCATACCACACCTGAAGGCCAGCAAAGGAAAACTCATCATGTCTTCCTCCACAGCCGCGACGGCGCCTACATCTAGGATGAGCTTGTACAACGTAAGCAACGAAACAGTACATACCTAGACACCTATAGCTAGCTAATTCAGAAAATAGATCGCGAAACTGTAAATATGTGAGTGCAACAGTTGTTTGTTTCACCTAAATCCTAACGGCTTCTGAATATTAATCAAGTTTTATATGTGTGCAACACAACAGGCTACCAAGGCAGCACAGCTCAGGTTCTACGAGACACTGAGATCCGAGCTTGGCTCGGAGGTTGCGGTGACTATACTGACGGCCGGATTTCGGGAGTCTGAGATGACCAAAGGCAAGGCCATCCAGAAAGACGGCGACGTCGCCATTGACCTGGAGGCCAGAGATGTAAGTTGCAACAAATTAAGCTATCTATATTCAGTATATCTCAGTTATGTGAAGTAGCAAAGCTTCCAACGTGAGGGACATGTACATGTCGTTTGCAGGTGCAGATTGGGGTGTTCCCAGTGGTTCGTGTCGAGAAGCTGTTCGAGGTAGCCTTGGACGGCATCCAGAGAGGCGACTGGTACGTGACATGGCCGTCGATGTACCTGCCGATGCCGCTCATCGCCTGCATCGCCCCCGAGGTCCTCAACTGGCTGTCCTACGCGCTGTACAACGCCAAACAGGGGAGCCTGCCGCTGAGCCAGAGAATGCTGGACGCCACCGGAGCCAAGCGCTTCTACCCACCGTCGCTTCGGCATCACCCGGGTATCAAGACGGAGGGGACTCATCACAAACAAGATATCGATGCAGCGTCAAATGTGTAGTAAGGACTGATCACAAGTGTTCAGGGAGGGCCGCAAAGGGCCGTGGTACCCAAAGTTTATGTAATTTTCATTCAAGAGTGAGTGATGTCTTGTGGCCAAAGGGATCCTAAACTAATTTGGTGGTTGTTGTTTATGTAATTCAATAGTGAGTGATGCACAACATCAATATAATGGTCAGTGGTCACAAAACAATTCAAGATGATATATGCATGCATCCATGTTGCTCTTGCTCGTCACGAGGTCAGCTGTCCGTACATTTGCGCCTTGCCCATGTCATATAGTTTAGCCCGGCCGTGTCCACAGTTAAAGTTAAGCATTATCACAGCCCATGCGAGGGAATAATAAAAGGCAATGCGGCCTAACCCATGTGTTAAAGCCACCCACCACCCACAGGCAGGCCGAAAGCAGCTCATGGCCTATTAAATCGATAAAGTTGCTCTATCACGATCTCTAACTCGCCAAAAAGGGCCGCTTTGCGCTAGTGGGCTTGTGGCCTAGCCTGGCCTGGGCTGGTGCATGTGTGGGCTGCCACAATTATTGTGTATTAGGTTGTGTGCCGCTAAGGGATGAAAACCGAAACAAACGGGCGAGAAAATCCCTCTCCCATTTCTGTTTTTATATTTTTTGGTGAAAACGGGATCGAGATTGGAAAAGCTAGGATTGGAATATGCGGGTATATGGAAATAGGCTAATACGGGCGGAAATTCAACGGAAACGGACGGGAGACAGGAACTTATGTCGGGAATAGCCCCCAAAGATAGTTGTGGTAGTTAGCAGGTGGTGACGGCCATGTCTATCATATGTATTTCACCACACGTTCGGGCTAGTTCTTACAACAAAGGGTTCAATTGCGGTTTACTTCTACCAACCATTCGCATCCCTTTTTTGTTGGTGTCGGGGCCATACCCCGAAGTGCTATCGAATCCTAACTTTGCTATTTCTTGGCTTAGTTATACCACTAGTCTTTTATTACAGTTGTGCTTAGTAGTAGAAGTAACTTAGGATCTTTGTACTTGCTCGCTGTCCACACACTAGCTAAACCGTGTATCCAAGTCTATTCTTTTCTTTTGTGTTACACTACTTTTTTTATCGTTACCCCCATTTAGAGTTAGGAGATTGTTGTAACTTAGTCATCAGAAATCATATCAGTCAATCTTAGAAATACGCTTTCCTTGAGGATATAATTAAATATGATACCTCGTGTGAAGTGTTGCATCGAAATTATGTGCGTTTGTGGAATTGTCCATTTTAGCATAACAAATATCAACAATCACCTTGGTTGTTCTTTGCTGGCTCCTATTGATTGATTATGAGGGTATTGTGCCCACCCTGCAGGAGATCATCACGAAGAGCAACTCTGGTGGAATGCTCGAGGCTAGTTGTAGTGCTATGGGTTGATTTGATTCTTGCGGCACCCAAGTTTAGGGTCAAGCTTGAGAGGCTTGTTAGTGCACAAATTGGTCACCAAAAGACTCACTTCATCGAGGACGTCGGTTGCTGGCAAGCAACCGAACCTCAAGGATAAATCTTGTGTCATCTCTTTCCCCAGTGGTTTGCAATTCTACACTTGTGCATTACATTTGGGCACTTAGCTTGTGTAGTTGTTGTTTGCTTGAGTAGCTCTCTAGTTGTAGTTGTAGCTCTAGTTAAGTAGAGTATCTAGCTTAGTTGCTTTAATTTGCTAGCTTAGCTCAACTAGAGTTGTTGCTAGCCTCTTGGTTGCTTGAGTGCACTAGTGCTAGAGTTTTCTTGCAATAAGAATGTGTTCAGGAGGCTTGCATTGAGGTGATGTAGGCTAGGCAATGTAATGACTATTAGGATTGTATTTTAATCTAACCATTTTGTTCTACGGTTATCTATTTGAAGAGAAATTTTAATAGGCTATACACCTCCAACCATCTAAAGCATTTCAACTAGCCATCAAGCCATGCCAGAATGAACACACCTTGCAACAGGCCATGGCGTAGATCGTGGGCTCTGATGTTGTGGCACACGGGCATGTCGCCTAGCATGAGATGGTGGCGTTCAACGCCATCGATGATGCATGGGCCGACGCGGGTGGTGGCACTCAACACTATCGATAATGTAGTTTGGGCCAACGGAATTGAGGCATAAGCAGCCGGGAAGGGCATGCAGGTATGTAGTGGCAGCGCAGCCGCACAACGAGGTGATGGTGCAATGCAAGATGGCTCCACTGAGGCGGCCAGGTCACCGACGTCACCTCGATGCAGCCCATTGTATGAGGTCGACAATGACGTGAATACCAACACGTCACCACACACAATGAAGTCATGTCATGGCAGTTGGGTTTGATGGAGCCCATGGCGTGAGGATGACAATATAATGACGATGGCGTGAAGACCATCGTATCATAGTGCACGGTGGATTCAGCGTCCTGGCGGCCGGGTTTGATGGCATGGCTGGCGGCTATGACCAGAATGCCATGGTGGGTGACGATGGGCCCATCAGGCCAGCCAGGGCTCTCTTTTGTTTTTTATTCTCTTTATAGAGACGGCCATTTTCACGGCCTCTACTATATTATGGATTAAGAGAGGCCTCTTCCTAGTTATATAGTGTAGTAATGTCTACCACTACACTACAAATTGACTTGTGAGTTAGTCATGATCCCATTCTAAACCTAAACTCTAACTGTAACAATGATTCTCACAGCTTCAAAGCGACGAGCTAGCACGAGGAAGGAGTAAGAGGAGAGAGAAGAGGCTGATTAGCAGGGCCCACATAAAACAGAGAGGGAAAACAGGATGTCTGGTTAGCAACTCCCCTTGGGCAGAGACGAAGATTGGAGCAGCGGATGGGCCCAAGGTATAGCCTATACTCATGCTGTTGGAGACATTTATGTTTAGCATGAAAAGCACTCCGCTCCAACCCACATTATAAGTCATTCCAAGAAATTTGGAGAGTCAAACCATCTCAAGTTTGATCAAATTTATATGATAAGATAATAACATTTATGGTGGCAACTAAGTATCATTAGATTCTATATTAATTATATTTTCATAGCATATCTATTTGATATCATATTTTTTTGTAATTTTCTCTATAATTTTGGTCAAACTTAAGATGCTTTGACTTATAATTTGAAATGGAGTGAGTAGGAGTTATAATTGGAATAAATTTCAAACAAACTAAACTGATGCCATGTGTTTAATTACCTAGGTAATAATTAACAAAATAGATGGGCGAGATACGTATAATGTTCCATGAAAACAGCGAAGTGGTTGAGTTTGGAGTTTGAACACAGTGGTCGTCTGGATCCACAACATGTGGGGGTCATTGTGGATTTTGTGGCCACTTTGACCAGAAGTCAGAACGGGAAACCGTGTTTAATTTGTACGCTCATGTTCCAATGGGTCACTAAAAGTCGCTCCCGTTTTGGCGCATACGGCATCGACCTTGCTCCAAGTTGCCATGCAACATGCATGCATGATATATGGAGACCCTTAATTACATGATGTCCAGTGTCCGTTTTAACCAAGTTTTAACTCGCTCTATATATATCATGTGAACGAGGATGGATATACAATAAGCTTCTGGCTGCTGCGTGCCCAAATGCTGGGTCGTGCCGTAGTCGTAGCTCATCAGTGTTACTCGCAAATGGTAGCTGAAGCTCAAACTAATGGTAGAATTCAACCAAGATGCATACTCACATTATAGGAGTAGTATATCGTAATTAATACGTGTAGTACTCCACCAAGTAAGCTTGCATGCCCGACAAACAGGCGAAAATCTTGCCATGCAAGTGAGAGTTGGCATCAATCCACTAATATAGCTCCCTTGGCGATTGTGAACGACGATAGTCGACGAGGGCGAGCGAGATATTGCCTCTTTTATATCTGTACGGCTTGGCCGGCTTGGACGCTAGGTATAACTTGCATCGCATGAAACTCAGCTGGTAGCAACTGGAGACGACGGCGGGACGAACTTGCGCCCGTGGAAAACATACGCAACAAGACACCTGATTACATTATTGTACACTAGGGTCCCATATCGATATTAACCTCTTCAAACAGATCTTGCTCCCCAGCGCCTCGCAGTGGCCACGTCACCCCAAAATCGGAGAAGCTATCCACGTCACCCGAAATTCCCTTGCGTGGTCACCGTTAGCCCACGTCACCTAGAAATCGTCATCCACAAAAAAAAACGCCTTATCTCTACTGGCATAGGAGCCTCCGCTCCTCCCCTCCTCTCCCTCTCCTCGTGGATCTCTCTCTTCTCCCCACGTGGCGGCGCACCAGGCGGCTCCTTCGAGGCGGCGGCGCACCGGACGGCCACCGGCGTAGGCTCGTCGCGGAGCCCCCCTCCTCCCTACGCCACAGCGACGTGGCACGGTGGCCCGCCAGTGGCCGCCGCCGCCGCCGCCCGTCCCATGATCCCCACCCCACCCCACCCCCCACCCACCCCGTGCTGAATTTTTTGTTTTTTAGCCTTTTTAAAAAAAAATTCACAAATGTGCCCCTGGAGTTATGCTTTCAAAATCTGGAGCCTTATCTCGGCGCCATCGTTGGTAGCTCCGAGCTTACACGTCTCGGCGCCATAGATTTTGGCGCCTAGGTCTTGGGCTCGGCGAAGACGTGGCGGTGTCTTGGCAGGCAACTTGGCACCGTAGATCTTGGCGCCGTGGTTATTGGCGCCGAGAACGGCCCCAAGATCTATAGCGCCGAGATGGTGCTTTAACCTAGCGCCCAACCTTCCTGCTCGAGCCTTCTTCCTCTTCTTTCTCCTCCCTCTCGGGTTTTTTCTCTCCCCACTTTGCCCTACCTCACGAATCGACATATTAAGAAAAGCTAGGAGGGTGCGAGGATACCTTGCTCTCGAAGATCTACGGATCAAATCAAAGTTTTCAAGGTCCAATATGCCGATTCGTGAGGTAGATCTTCGAGAGCAAGGTATCCTCGCTCCCTCCTAGTTTTTTTTTTCAATATGCCGATTCGTGATATAGGGCGAAGTGGGGAGAGAAAAAACCCGAGAGGAAGGAGAAA